GTGGTAATTTTACATACGTTAACGACAAATTTGCATCAGATAGGACGATCCATGTCTTTTGCATAGCTCCCACCACAACATTTCTGCACGTAGAGAAACTTACAGCGTGACGTCAATGTGGGTAGAAATGCTTAATGTAAATCCTTGCATAAAAGCACATTATTAGCGAGATCTTCCCCAACGTAAACCAAATACGTTCATCGTGGAACGGAACCAGAGAATGTCTGACAAACAATCATGACGTCATATGACGCCTGTCAGTCATTTCTGTACCGCCCAATAGGATCAAATGTCAAACAAACCGGTAAGCTTCGCTCTCAGGAAATGCGTTACAATGACGTATTATGACGTCATTGAAGACATAACATTGCCAAATATGGCTCTGAACGTAGGGTCATTTCAGAAACGTGTCTCGTCCCTTCAGGTTTCAGCTGACCAATCAGTGGAAGGCAAACATAACACGTGATGTGGGCGGAGTCAAATTTGGGAATGCCTGTTTGTGCATTTACGGAAAAAACACACACCTAGGACGTGTTTACTTAACCTGTATTTGTTAAGCGTGTTGTCATGTACATGGTAAACCAACATTTGTTCAGATGAGCCGATACACAGCTTTGATGTTGAAGACATGCGTAGTTTAACTGCAACTTATTCATTGAAACGGATAAGATGATAAGATGTAATTTAAGTGGATTTAACGATTTCTACTGCGATGGAGTTGGATGAAGACAACGTTTTCTTAAAACACGGAGTAAATGTTACATTATTAACTAAACCAAACAAGATCGAGGACAATCCAAAATGTCAACTCTATATCTGCCCAAATAGATTTCATATCAAATATTGGAACATATATATAGCTATATGAATGTAAACACGTACTGACAAACTGCTATTTTGCAGCAACACGTCGGGAAATCAATGAACATCGTTTTCTAGCCAAACTCGATATGTGGTTCAAGACGAATACAATCTTTAATTCTTCAAAATCCTTTTCGACACAACAGTATTATGATAGCTATTCATGTGTGCACGCTGGGTGACTCGATGTACAGTGGATCGTGTACTTTAACAGGTAATAGGTTGATGTCAAATAGAAAATGACAACCTATATTTAAACGTTAAACGACAACACTGAGTTAGTGAGTTGGTCTTTAGGAATGAACAGTATTTCAGTTATTTCAATTATACAGTTATAAACAGCATGACAGTCTACTATAGATAGAGAAGCCCGACAGCAGTGATACTTGCTCTGTCATCGAAGCTCATGACGTCTATCACTAGTTTATTTACAGACAGTCGTGGTAATCACACAATCAGAAAAACAAACACATGCTCATAATACAGTCGGAATTGTACGATCGACTCTACCTTTAGCAGTGATTTCTTGTGGGTGGGGAAAGCGTTTTGTCGCGTTTATTTGACGATAACCACTTTGTTGAAACACACGAGAAAGAACACGATGCTTACAATCCCAGAAACAAATCCAGGTCGAATCTCTATTTGATCCCAAGGTGCCACGTTTCTGGCAAGACACGGGCTGCAAGTCTACATCGATGACTGGAGTACATGTGCCCCCAGAACGATGAAAGGGCAGCGTTGACCAATTAGTGTCAAGGTGCGACTGACCGGTAGGTCCAGGTTAAGCAAATACTACTGCACCGAGGACCACTCAGGTCATCTCTAACGATCACGCTGACCAGGACAACTCAAGTCCTAATTACTGACACTAACTTACTGAACTGCGTTGTTAGGTAGAGTAGATAGATATCACAGGAAAAGAAAGTGTATGCGCACACACGCACACGCACACACACATGCACACGGACACATAATGGTTCTGCATACAAGTATACCGATGATAATCAGGCACACATTTTTATGGACATGTCCATTATCAGTTGTGACCTGTCCTTTCCCTGGAGTCTGTAGGGAACACAAAGAACCTTATCCATAGCTACCTTTATCTTCTTTCAAACACATTATTAATCTTTTATGTTTTTACATGTTACGCTGCTATCATTTTGAAAATGAAATGATTCACGAAAACAAAGGTTCTAAAGGAATATTTGACTTTACCACGTTAATCCTTCATTTCAAACCCGTGAAGATCCGGGGTAGAATAGGTCTTCAGAAACCCATGCTTGTCACAAAAGGCGACCATGCTTGTCGTAAGAGGCGACTAACGGGATTGGGTGGTCAGGCTCGCTGACTTTGTTGTCATCGGTTCCCAATTGCGCAGATCAATGCTCCTGCTGTTCATCACTGGATTGTCTGGTCCAGACTCGATTATTAACAGACCGCCGCCATATCGCTGGAATATTGCTGAGTGCGGCATAAAACTAAACTCACTCACTCACTCACTCATTCATTTCACGCCATACATGTGTCTTTTATGTCGTTATCTGGTTTAAATGGTCTTAATTTTGTCAGTAACCGTAATGCTATTATTTGTAGATTGGAAGTACATTTGTACTTGCTTACCATATAACTACACCCAGCTCATATTTGGCCATTTTGGCTTAGAAGCGATTCCCGAAAACTAATTATACAGTCTGATTTGTTTCAAGGTCTCTGTTTAATGAAAGGATTTCATACGATTATAGAACGTTTGTTTTGGATTATGGAAAATATTTCCTCTGTATCATACCTTTCGGCATAATGAAATTATTAACCCTTTCTGTAATATTCCTTTTTCAGTAGTTTCAGCGTTTGAATATTGGGATGTTGTAAATGTATTGTCAATGTAAAAAGACATGGTGATTGACACCCATAAACATGAACAACTTCAGCCCCTTCTAAGTAAATTTCAATGGCCTTTGTATCTGTTCGAATGCCTATACTTGCATAAGCATACATGTATAGTAACAACTGTACTCCAGTTTGCACGACAGTCAGTGATAGTGTACGTATTAATAAATGTTCGTATAAGCAGTACACAGGAATGATGTGTACACTGTATGTTAATGTTAGTGGCAACTCCCAGTGTGTGTCAGGGAAACCAGTTTAAGGTACTGACGAGGTCCGGACAACCATTTCATTTTGATTCGAGGAAATTGACAATGTAAAAATGTTTCGACATATTCCCCCACGATACACGTACACTCATGAAGATACCACTGATAGTAAAGTACTTCCTGCTTGCTAGAACTATTTACCCACAGCTGTGCAAAATAAGTTACACAAACATCACACAAGTCGTTTACATCTTGGGATGGGCATCCCAAAGAAATCCTGTCACAAAAGTAATTAAAGATTGTACTCATATGTTAAGCAGGTAAAAGAAATTTCTAAAGTGTCCTGTTTTCCTTGAACTAATATATATCATGCATTACTGAGAAGATGGCTACGCAACTGTCCACACATGCGTGCGTAGATTGTATGTGCCCGTCAAACACGCGATTTGAAACCTAACAGAAAGACAAATACATATACGTGACTTTAGCCTACTCAACGCCTAAAACTGTCCAATGTACACGTCGTGCCAGGATGGTGTCGTGCGTCGACGGCTCGTTGCTTGTGACACCTTTGGAAGCACCTTATAATCATCTGATTTGTCCACGATGTTCCGCTCATGTTCTTGAGGATGATTATTTGAGATGATGGAAATCTTTGAAGCTTCTGAATTTGGCAACGTCTGAAAATGAGGTTTTTATTTACCCATCACTTAGTTAATAATATCGTGATGTTCGAAGTTCAATTGCTTTGAAATGATGTAGTAAAAGCAACAAACCACGTTCTAAGATCACGAAGAATATCTGCCAAAAGCACTGTCCATTTTACAATTGCCACTAAATCACTTTCAATTAAAAATCTGCCAGAACCACGCTTCTTTACTATCAATTTACACGCACATCTTAAGTCCACAACTTGAAGACATAACCATTCTCATTCGAACTGGATTCTACAACTCGATTAAAAAGGCTATCACTTTGTCAAGCAAATGTACCCGGAGCCCCTGTCTCAAAGATTAACCATAATCAGTAATATAATCAAGGATGGTATCTCTTTCCACCTGCTGAAGTATTTGAGTGTGTATTTAATGTCATGTGTTATTTGAAAAACTGAAAGGATTTGCTCAATCTCAGTAAGTATAATTATGTCATAAAGTGTGAGTTTAACCTCTACTCCCACACGACGAGCTACAGGAGAATCATGACATGTATTCTTTGATGTACGGGACATTTATCACGACGCGCATAAGCCTTAGATTCTGTCACATCTTCAAAGGTTAAAGACAATGTGGCCAAAATGAAAGCAAATGTCATCAGAAGTTGACCGAGGAAACAATATGCGGCATAACTACAAAGACATGTTTGTGCTAACCCGAGAAAACACAACAACGCCCACGCTGTGCTGTGAAACGACCTCGAACGTTGCTATTTACAAGTAAGAAGAATTATTGCACCTGTACGCAGTGGGAATTCAAAATTTACATGTGGCTCTTTCTGTTTCATTATAAGAAACTCAGCGAATGCCCTTTTGTGTCACTCGACTGTCTGGTTCATCGCTGCTTTGATGATGATGATGATGATGATGATGATGATGATGATGATGATGAGATTTAACGTGCGCTTTCCGATAGAATGCGTATTTTGCACACCATTTCTGGTAAAACCCACGAAGTTTGTCTTCAGCAGAAATGGATTGTCTGGTCCTGTTTCGATTAATTACAGACCCTCGCCATATAGCTGCTGAGAGCGGCGTTAAACCACAAACAAATAAAAGCATTTCTGGTCAAGACTGGACTGTTTGCAGGTGGACGTCGTGGGGCAGGCATACTGTTGGACACTAAACATACACCTTTTCATTCATATTGGGTGATGGCGGGTGCTACCAGTAGGGCAGGGCATGCTTACCCTTTCCGAGGACACCGGGTGTCATCGCTGACACTGACGGTGTCATCACTGATCCATTTATAAATATTCACAGCTATTTGGCCTCTCATTCTCTATGGAATCCATCTCATATTGTCTCTCCGTGTCTCACGTGTATGTTGTTTAGGTGTCGGTGTCGGTGTAGGTGTAGGTGTAAGCGTAGGTGTTGTGGCAGTTGTAGGTGTAGGTGTCGCTGTAGGTGTAGGTGTAGGAGTTGTTGCAGTTGTAGGTGTAGGTGTAGGAGTTGTTGTAGGTGTAGGTGTAGGTGTCGCTGTAGGTGTAGGTGTAAGCGTAGGTGTTGTTGCAGTTGTAAGTGTAGGTGTAGGTGGCGGTGTCGGTGTCGGAGTAGGTGTAGGTGTCAGTGTCGGTGTAGGTGGAGGTGTAAGCGTAAGTGTTGTTGCAGTTGTAGGTGTAGGTGTCGGTGTAGGTGTAGGTGTAGGAGTTGTTGTAGGTGTAGGTGTCGCTGTAGGTGTAGGTGTAAGCGTAGGTGTTGTTGCAGTTGTAAGTGTAGGTGTAGGTGGCGGTGTCGGTGTCGGAGTAGGTGTAGGTGTCAGTGTCGGTGTAGGTGGAGGTGTAAGCGTAAGTGTTGTTGCAGTTGTAGGTGTAGGTGTCGGTGTAGGTGTAGGTGTAGGGGTTGTTGTAGGTGTAGGTGTAAGCGTAGGTGTTGTTGCAGTTGTAAGTGTAGGTGTAGGTGTCGGTGTAGGTGTCGGTGTCGGTGTCGGAGTAGGTGTAGGTGTCAGTGTCGGTGTAGGTGGAGGTGTAAGCGTAGGGTGTAAGTTGTAGTGTTGTTGCAGTTGCAGTGTAGGTGTAGGTGTAGGTGTCGGGAGTAGGTGTAGGTGTCAGTGTCGGTGTAGGTGGAGCTGTAGGTGTGTAGGCGTAGGTGTCGCTGTAGGTGCAGGTGTAAGTGTAGGTGTAGGTGGCGGTGTCGGTGTCGGCGGTAGGTGTAGGTGTCAGGTGTCAGTGTCGGTGTAGGTGGAGGTGTGTAAGCGTAAGTGTTGTTGCAGTTGTAGGTGTAGGTGTAGGTGTAGGCGTAGGTGTAGGTGTCGGTGTAGGTGTAGGTGCAGGTGTCGGTGTAGGTGTAGGTGTCGGTGTAGGTGTAGGTGGGTGTAGGTGTAGGTGTAGGTGTAGGTGTAGAGTAAGTAAGGTGTAAGTGTTGTTGCAATTGTAGATGTAGATGTAGGTGTAGGTGTAGGTGTAGGTGTAGGTGTAGGTGTAGGAGTAGTTGTAGTTGCAGGTGTAGGTGTAGGTGTCGGTGTCGGTGACGTAGGAGGTGTAGGTGTAGGAGTTGTCGCAGTTGTCGGTGTCGGAGTAGCTAGGTGTAGTGTAGGTGTCGGTGTAGGTGTAGGAGTTGTTGCATTTTTAGGTGTAGGTGTAGGTGTAAGCGTAAATGTTGTTACAGTTGTAGGTGTAGGTGTCGCTGTAGGTGTAGGTGTAAGCGTAGGTTTTGCAATTTGCATGTAGGTGTAGGTGTAGGTGTAGGTGTAGGTAGGTGGAGGTGTCGTAGTGTCGGAGTAGGTGTAGGAGGTGTCGGTGTCGGAGTAGGTGTAGGTGTAGGTGTAGGTGTAGGTGTAGGTGTAGGTGTCAGTGCCGGTGTAGGTGTAGGTGTAAGCGTAAGTGTTGTTGCAATTGTAGATGTAGGTGTTGGTGTAGGTGTAGGTGTAAGGAAATGGAAATAACGTTTCAGAAAAAATGTTAGAGATACAGCTTAATTGTATAGTCAATTTGGTTTGTAGGAACAAACAGAGAGTTTTTGAAAGTGTCAGCTGGGAAAAAGACACAATTGTTCGTATTCAAAAAGATAGGATTTCTTCGTATTTGCCTATCGATGATAGATTAAGACCTATGAATGTAGAATTGTACAGATAATACTTTAAATAATAATACTCGATTTCCATTTTGAATCATTTGCTTTCCGTTTTTGATTTCAGACAAATTTAATTAATCTTATCACCCACAATGTAGCTTGTGCTAAGGATAATAGAATAGTTACCTGCAATGTAAACCCATAATGGAATGGTCACCTGAAGTATCGTTTGGAATTATGGATCATGGAATAATCACTTTAAAAAATCGCATGCAATATGGACCACACAATAGTAAACAGGCAATGTCGTATGCAATATGGATCATGTAATAGTCGGCTGCAATGTGGACAATGTGGATCATGTAATAGTCGGCTGCAATGTGGACAATATGGATCTGGTAATAGTCGGCTGCAATGTCGACAAAATGGATCATGTAATAGTCAGCTGCAATGTCGACAATATGGATCATGTAATAGTCAGCTGCAATGTGGACAATATGGATCTGGTAATAGTCGGCTGCAATGTCGACAAAATGGATCATGTAATAGTCAGCTGCAATGTGGACAATATGGATCATGTAATAGTCACCTGTCATGTCGTTTAAAATATGGATCATGTAATAGTCGGCTGCAATGTGGACAATATGGATCATGTTTAAGTCGGCTGCAATGTGGACAATATGGATCATGTAATAGTCAGCTGCAATATCCACAATATGGATCATGTAATAGTCGGCTGCAATATCGACAATATGGATCATGTAATAGTCACCTGTCATGTCGTTTAAAATATGGATCATGTAATAGTCGGCTGCAATGTCGGCACTATGGATCATGTAATAGTCAGCTGCAATGTCGTTTAAAATATGGATCATGTAATAGTCGGCTGCAATGTGGACAATGTGGATCATGTAATAGTCGGCTGCAATGTGGACAATATGGATCATGTAATAGTCAGCTGCAATGTCCACAATATGGATCATGTAATAGTCGGCTGCAATATCGACAATATGGATCATGTAATTGTCACCTGTCATGTCGTTTAAAATATGGATCATGTAATAGTCGGCTGCAATGTCGGCACTATCGATCATGTAATAGTCAGCTGCAATGTCGTATGCAATATGGATCATGTAATAGTCAGCTGCAATATCGACAATATGGATCATGTAATAGTCGGCTGCAATGTCGACAATATGGATCATGTAATAGTCAGCTGCAATGTGGACAATATGGATCATGTAATAGTCACCTATCATGTCGTTTAAAATATGGATCATGTAATAGTCACCTGTCCTGTCGTTTAAAATATGGATCATGTAATAGTCAGCTGCAATGTGGACAATATGGATCATGTAATAGTCACCTGCAATGTCCGCAATAAATTCTAGCAAACCCAAGCAGAGGATGCAGAATATTTTATAATACACAACAGGCAACTTGAACTCAAAATAATAACAACAAATACAGAAGTAAATGGGATTTAGAAGTAACCAAATGTATATCTGATGATTGGAGCTATGCCCATAAAATACCTTTCAGGGCGCTTGTTAATGTAAAACATCAATGGTTTCAATACAGTATACACAGATGTATATCAACTAACGAAATGCTATCAAAAATGAAATTGATTGAAACCAATGCTTGTACTTTCTGTAAAATAAATGCTTAAACCATAATACACATATTCTATGAATATGATATTGTCTAAGAGATTTTGAATAATGTTATTGAGTGGATTCAACATAAAACAGGCACCCTTCTTCACTTAGATAAGAAAAGGGTATTATTTGGATATCCTGAGAAAAGAAATGATGTGCTCAATCGCTTCATAATTATCACAAAATACAATATTTTCAAATCACGATTAGCAAATAGACATCCTAACCTTTCACATGTTAAAAGAGATGTTGAAATTTCATATAAATTAGATAATTACAGCTCGAAGATAAATTGTAGCGCACCATCATTTCTACAATTTTGGTCTTCATGCCATAATTATGCGTTTTAGTTGAAGATGGTATCTATTTAGTGTGTTTCATTTTTCTGTACATCTGGAAGATCATGATATCAAAAAAAGGACAATGACAAGGTTACGAAAGTGGATATTAGTATCTCTTTTCAGTTCTAGATGGGACCTTCCCGAAGACATTCCTAACATACAAAAGTGTGAATAATTAATCAAAATGTTAAACTACATCATGTGGGTTTAAGAACATAATATCAAATGAAAAACCTACACCCATTGACTTGCTGATCGTTGTAGAAGACAATGAACTCTATATTGACACACTGTTATTGTTTTTGTATTGTCTGTGTCACAGATATTAGCCATAGGTGTTGCTGACATGTAGATTTCCATGTGACTTAATTACCATATTTTCGTCTTTTCTTTTATAACAACCCTGCTTGAATAATAGACCATTCTCGCAGACAAAGAAGACATATCTATATATATAAAAACTCTTCAGTGTATTTTTTATCTCATTGTTTCGGGGTTAGTTGGCAACGTTTAAGTTGTTCTAAGTTGTTAAGTTGTTTGTTTTTCTAAGAAGAAAATGTCTACCAGCTCGCCTCACAGACTATCCAAAAACTACTAACTTCATACACTTAATGGAATCCACTGACAAAGATGTATCATATAAACTTAAACTCTGTCTATCTAAATTATTCACAATAAAATCATCTTCGGAAGCTTAATGCATGCAGGATACTATTTTTGTATTATGTATTATGGGCCTATGATCTTGTTACAGAATAGATTGGTCGGTTTGTCTGTTTAAGTTGTTTTCCTAACGTCCCAAATTACCTTGAGACCATACATTGTTTCGTCTATACCTTGGACAACAAAATACCCATCCGTATGACAAGGACGGAAACTAGTGAATCACCTTTAGTGCCTCTCCATTGTAAACAACATGGGTGTGGAACAGCCAGTAAACAAGAAGACACATTGGTCGTAAGACGTCACGGCTTTAATTACACAGGAAAACATCTCAGCCAATCAACGGAGGACAATTGCCAAGTAATCTTTTCTTGTCACATGCGGGGATCTTTCCACACAAACACACCACAATGGATCTGATTCGCAAGATGTGTCGTGATTTCATGAACGAGGAATGCCTTTGTTCGAGATACAAAAAGCGGTGCTGGTCGGCAAAGTACGAATTTACCAGCCTTAGGTTCATTAAACGTGTGAAAATCAAAGCGGTCTTTCTCTATCCGTAACTGCCACCGCAAACGTAGGCAGCCGAATTAAAGCAAAGGAAAGTTAGATAGTCATTCGAAAAGAACATCCCTTTATACTGGGTGAAAGGGTACTTTGTTTGACGTTCTCATTGAGCTCGTGGTTTGCACACTGACGAGGTGCCTTGAGCCTATAACACCATGGACAAACACTGTTAGGTCGTCCACAAACTCCTTTCTTAACTCAACACCATCACATACCCTGTTTGTCTTCTCATGATTACAAACTGGCCCTTTGGTCCGTAGAACTACCTCAACCCACGACGGTCAAGCTACAGAAAGATGCATTAGCCCACACAATAGGGGATACTAATTCCTAAAAGACCCGAAGAGAAACCTACGCTTGTCATCAGTGCTATATGACTGAGCGTATGATTGCTACATTATCTGCCGGTTCGTCAGTCTTTCTGCTACTGCATCCCTGTGCTGTATCAAGTGTGCATCCCAGTGACAATCTGTAATCTCCTGATCCGCGTCTTGCAGAAGGTCCTGGACGCCATGTTGCCCAGGACTGTGTACCTGTTTTTACTATTGGCTCATTTAGCCTCTATTACCAATGGACAGATGACCTGTAAGTATTGTTTTATGTCATGCCTACTAATATACATAATCGTCAACGAAAGAGTTAAAGTCAATGGTATCAATATCAGTTTGGTTTGAATTTTATACTTTCATTGCAGTGCGTCTGCACTGTCTGTTGTTAATGCACGCAGGTGTTAAATTGGGTCTGAATTCATTATTTCCAGTTCAACATGAAGCCACCTAGCCAGTATTTACGTACAATCATGAAATAGGGCAATGGAAGTACACAAGTCATTAGCAGCTTGGCCCGATTACCATAATTCATTCAGAGCTGACTGTTGACATGACATTTACTCTCACGGTGAAGCTGATTCTCAGCTGCATTTATCTGCACACCTATGAAATTGATACATTTGCACATAGCAATTAGACGTTAAAATATGGCACTTGTTGGTACAACAAGGACTGGTCGGCTCGGAGTCAGTATAATGGGTATGAGTAGGGTATTCATGCTTCACTGCGGCATGGTATCTCAGTGGGCTAGCACTATAAAACTAGCTTAAGTCTGGGATAGTACAAGCAGCCGCACATACACATACACACGCATGCACGTCGTCATATGAGCGAAATATTCTCAAGCACGACGTTAAACCCAATTTCACCTCATCTCACATAGCAATTAAGTCACTTACACACATAAAGGAAACCTTTACAGAAGTATGCAATGCATTATTTAAACATAATCAATAAAAGTCACTATCCAAAAGGAACTCGTTGATTTAGATTTAGATGCCTGGTGAATGATATATATGTTTGCATCACAGTGGACACTGTCCTTTGCCTTGTGACAATCCTCTGCAGGACACCGTTAAGCTTTCGAGACGAATATGTTTCATGAATGAACATATATAGCCATATCAGTTACATTAGTAGCATTACAAAATGTCCAATTAAAACCTCAAAACCTTTACTGCATCTCAAACAATGCGAGGGTTTCTGTTTTGTATGCTTAGCGTTTTGACAGCTAACTTGCTCACACGAACGTACTTGTATTTCTAGGTGTGCGATGTTGACTTATTTAACTAGTTTGAATAAAACTGAAGCTGAAAACTAATGAAAGGTTTAATAGCGATACGGAAACACGTAAAACGCCTCTTTGAGTAATTAGTTGGGGGATTTTAGTGAAACATCCATGTGACGTACATGCATGCCATCATGCTGCTCATGATATCCGATTAACCCATTTATGCATAGGGTATTAGATTTTCATCACATTTTGTGAGCTGGTTTCTTTGGCAAGCAATGAAAGAAATGAAGTGTGATTTTACTAGTAAATGAATTTTCCATACTTTACACTGCAAAAGTGCGTCCCATAAATGGGACAATATGCAGATAAGTGAACTTAAATTAGGTAATTTATTAGGCTTAGGTAGGGGAGATCAACCTCTTAAATCTTAAAATTTACTCTTTTCATTTGAAAGCTTTCATGGAATAAAACCAAACTGGCTTTTACATGAAACTATGTATTAACAAATTGAAAACTGAACATTTCATGGGCATTCTTGGTCCCATAAAATGTTTTCTGATGAACTAAATATCATAGTTGATGAATGTATCCCTACAGTGCTCTGCTGTTCCTCACATATGAATACCATGGGTACAGGGTTATTTTACAGTGTTAGGTAGGTGCAATCATTCACACCTGGAGGAAGTGAAGGGCCTTTGGTAAGTATTTCTTGGTATGTCATACTAAATCATGTAAATCTTTACTTCTGTTTCTCACATAAACCACATTGTACGCCAGTAAGTAGATTATTGGTTTCTAAGTGTCAAACTAATCAATTATTGATCATGCGTTCCATGGTTTTGCGTACGCAGCTAGTTAGTGAAATTAGTCAATAATTTGAAGGATCGATATGGTCACGTCGAGGTTAAGGAATTGGAACAATTATAGCATCACGCCATGAAGAAGGAAATTTCACTGACTTCCAAATACTATCAAAAATATATAAAAGGGTTTCTGTAAATGCTTCAAGAGTTGATACTAAATGTTTTCAATTCCTGCAGCAGTATCTTGAGCTTGCTTAAGAGCTTTATTGAGCTCATGAATAGAAAACATTTCATTATAATCTTCTCCGTCAACTATGATGTTTAGTTCACCAGAAAACATTTTATAGGATCAAGAATGCCCATGAAATGTTCAGTTTTTAATTTGTTAATAGACATAGTTTCATATAAAAGCCAGATTGGTTTTATTCCATGAAAGCTTTCAAATGAAAAGAGTAAATTTTAAGATTTAAGAGGTTGATCTCCTCCACCTAAGCCTAATTTAAGTTCACTTTTCAGCATATTGTACCATTTATGGGACGGTACTTTGGCGGAAAATTGAGTATGGAAAAAATGCAACATTTTCATTATATATTTCTATTTGAACAATGAAAGCTTTAAACACATTCTAATGAACTTACATAGTTAAAATAGGGACCACTGAAAATCATCTTACCTCACACTTCGTCGAATTGGCAGGGGACCTGCCTTGCTACTGGAAGTGGCCATGCTCAAAGAACTTAACTCTACAAGTAACGTAAATGGTTCAACCACTAAACAATTTACTCAGCTTCAGTCACGTCTATAAGTTCTTCAACAATAGGCTTTTTTGAAGGGCCTTGTGTAACTTTTTTGAAGTACCCGACCCGAAAAAGGGACGATATGCATAAATTGGGTTAATATTTGGATAGGCAAGTCAGGCTTAATGACCTGACTGACTGGGTAATCGTATAATATTATGTGTCTTTCAGTTGCATATTTGCTTTCAGTTGCATATTTGCATGCCCCTAAATCGATATTTACATCCTGTTGGGATTAAGGTGAAGTTTTTTAGCGGTTTTCAACAACATTCGCACAGCTTAGGACTCCATCCAGTAGGATACCAGGCCACCATGCTTGCTCCAAAGTTATTTATGATGAGCATCTGGAGTATGATTGTGTGCTATCGGCACAATGGTGTGGATCGTTGTTCCTGATGTCTACCACTTTGGTACCTGGTGAAGACCAGTTTACAACCAGACAAAATGACACTGATGTTATTTCTTTGCTTTTGAATTTCGTTATCTGTTTCCTTGGCATACACACATTTAAGAAGAAACATGAAAATCCACTTTATACTTCGATACATGTTGTTCTGTAGATATTGCCATAAACAACGTTTTCCGTTTCCATGTATGCTCTGTTATGGTATACACTTGATAATATGATAAGGAACAATGGATAACACGTATTGAGTATTAATTGTATACACGGGTTACAAGGGAATTCTTGTCCAGTTCATTAAATAAATGAATCACAGAATGGTAAAACATATTACACACAAAGACACACACACATAAGACAGACAGACACAAATAAATGAATGACAGAATAGTAGAACATATTACACACATACACACACATAAGACAGACAGACAGAAATAAATGAATGACAGAATAGTAGAACATATTACAAACAAAGACAGACAATAAGACATACACACATAAATGACAGAATAGTAGGACACACAAAAACACACACAATAAGACAGACAGACACAAATAAATGAATCACAGAATAGTAAAACATATTACACACAAAGACACACACAGTACGACAGACAGACACATACATGCATGACAGAATAGTAGAACATATTACACACAAAGAGAAAGAGAGACACACACATATATATGTGTGACGGCCATGAGGTTGATGCTATTCGCTACATCAGGGGATCTTTGCTACAGCCAATTAATGTTTTCGTTGTTTCAGTTTGTCGCTTACTCAAAGGTTACTGTTACGCCAGATGTCCAGCTGGTCAAACCACGCTGTTCCAAGCCCCTATACTGTGTTCGTCAAACAACTACTGCTGTATACCAAATCTATCAGAACGAAGAACGACGACGACAACAACAACAACGACGACAACGCCACCAACGACCCGAAATCCATATCCAGTATTCACAGGTAGCTCCATTTTCCCCACTTTATTGATTCATATTTCGCTCATATTTTATACCAGTCATCGCAGACATACATGTAAAGTCGCTGTAGACTTTTAATATGACCAACTTCATACTTAGTTATTAGATTATGTTTTATACATTATCGGAGGTATAAGGTCCCTGCAGACTATACTTTACTTGGAAATTGGATTATGCTTCATTCGCTAACGGGTGAAAAGGTCCATTCAGACTGTATATATAATCAAATACATAGTTTACTTTGTTATTGGATTATTTTTTATACGTTATCGGAGGTATAAGGTCCATTCAGACTATAGATATGACCAAATACATATTTTGTTATATAATTAGATTATGTTTTATACATTATCGGGGGTATAAGGTCCCTTCAGAGAGAGAGAGAGAGAGAGAGAGAGAGAGAGAGAGAGAGAGAGAGAGAGAGAGAGAGAGAGAGAGAGAGAGAGAGAGAGAGAGAGAGAGAGAGAGAGAGAGAGAGAGAGAGAGAGAGAGAGAGAGAGAGAGAGAGAGAGAGAGAGAGATTCAATCCGAAGATTATTGATACATGAATTCAATCAAACATAAAACACATTAGTGCCTCAATTTAAAAAAAAACATACTGAAGATATTGTTTCAAATGATAGACATATTTTGCAAAGTTTATAATGACCACATGGTATGTGTCCCGCACTAGGGATCGTGTGAACTGTGTATCTGCACCTTGGAGAGTTGACAGCATGGTATGTGTCCCGCACTAGGGATCGTGTGAACTGTGTATCTGCACCTTGGAGAGTTGACAGCATTTCGTCGTCTTCCAACATTTCAAAATTTACATAGGTTTCAACATCAAGTAGATCAATCAGACACTGCTTGAATATTGCTAAAAGCGGCGTAAAACCCAACTCACCCACTCACTCACTCACTATTTCAGCAGAATGCGGGACAGGACTACAGGTATTACCTTTAGGAGTATCGTCACGTATTATCGGCGGTACCAGTGCTCTCCGTTGTGAATTCCCTTGGATGGTGTACATATACAGAGAAAACAGCCCCTGCGGTGGCAGCCTCATCGACGACAGACATATAGTGACAGCTGGCCACTGTCTGAGGTAAGAGGATGCTGGTATGACAATGACAATAACAATGGAAATACTTTTATTAACCCTGGGGTAATTATTTTTACATCTGAAAGTGATCACATAACTAAATATTAAAAATTACATAATGGTTAAGAAAACGCAAAACAACACAATAGACGAACAAAGTTAATAGTCATTTAAAAGGCGAATACTTCCTGGAATAAAATAATTTTGAACTCTTTTTGTTTTAAAAGGGGCGTTTGGTATCGGCGGCCCGAAGGTAAAAGATTATATTGAGAAAATAAAAGGTGGCTGGAATCAGATAAAATTCTCTCAGCGAGGTTAAGAACACTGGAATAAAAATATATCTCAGAGATTTTACTTGCAATTTAAATAATTTTGTTTAGATAAGATTTGCTTTTGATTAAGACAGCCATGCCAGCACTGAATTGAAAAGGTTAAAATATTTTCAACAAAACAATGATAAACAACAACATCGCTTTTTTGCTTTTGTTAAAAAATCTTAGTTTGCGCATATAATGCAGTCTTTGATGGCATTTCTTAAAAATAAAATCAGTGTTAGTGATAATAGTGGCATAATATATGTACTGTGTTACAATTGTGGCAGTTTCACTCTTGATTTCAACAAGCATAGTGTCACTTTTTAGCTTCTAAAATCCACGATGAGGTCTTTTGTTTTCGCAACATTTAATTGCATGTAGTTGTATTCATAGGGATATTTAAAGGGGTACGTTTCTCCTCGGTCCGGGCCTTCTTACTCTCATCCCAGAAATTACCACTTTGACCCTCACGAGAATTGTGGGAATAGTTAATTTGGCTTGACTAAGAAATCGCCGCCAGCCAGCAATGACTTGAATCATTTATCATCGATCATCACTCATTATTGATCTGAATTTTGTGAGTGCACAATCCTTCATGATAGGCACGTGGTGTATCCATTTTGATAATCCTGACCAATGACTATGTAATACCTGCATAATATTTATTTAACCCCAGTTTAGATGATTGATTTTAGCGACTAGAGTAAGCAATATGAAATCAGTTGTAGAAATTATGGCATGAAAATATATATTTATGTTACTCTTACGGTTGTGAAAATAACGTAACCTACGAAAAATGGTTAGATGTTTCTGTTTACATGACCAGATATGGTAAACACTTCTCGAAATAGCTTACAGGGAAATTATGGCATGACAATATATATTTATGTTACTCTTACGGTTGTGAAAATAGCGTAACCTACGAAAAATGGTTAGATGTTTCTGTTTACATGACCAGATATGGTAAACACTTCTCGAAATAGCTTACAGGGAAATTATGGCATGACAATATATATTTATGTTACTCTTACGGTTGTGAAAATAGCGTAACCTACGAAAAATGGTTAGATGTTTCTGTTTACATGACCAGATATGGTAAGCACTTCTCGAAATAGCTTACAGGTACATTGAAATCCTGGAGTGCCATTTATAATATGGATGTCACTGAAGTCAAGATTGAACTTTTAGACATCTTCACAACTTATCTAAACACAAGTCCCTCCTGTTTTGCATTTAAAAATAGAGTTTGCTCTACCCCTATGTTTAGTGTAATAAAGTTTTGTAGGTTTGAAGTTTTGTCGTGAACAACTATACTTAAGTACAGCAAAGTGCTTAGATGTTGTAACACACGCCATTTTGAAGCCCATGACGCTACGAAACACTTGGAGAGTGAGTGACTTTGGTTTTACGCCGATTTTACCCATATTCCAGCAATATCGGCCGGGGACACAAGGAATGGTTTCACACATTGTTCCCATGACGAAACACTTAGAGGCTGCTGTGGTAGGGACACATACCTATGTTTGTGATGCTATATGTGAAATGGTTGGCATCGTCTTGCTATATTACACAGTAAAAATATAAATTATTAGACAAATTTAACGAATACTAACCATAAGTGCTTGGTTGCACCATCCAACTTGACAGTAATGAAAAAACAAACCATATTACGTTTGATCAAGTTTGATCAAAGGCGCCGAGACATTAGCGTATTATGCTGTAAGTACAAAAAGTGTACTTTATCAACGATAAAATGACGCCAGCGATGTTTTCAACGATGCATTTTAGTATGTTGGGAAAAGTGTGATAATATATATTTGTTCTTAAAAACATGGAGCTAACAATGCTCCTTTATAAATGAGATATGTAACATTCAAAGATACAGTTTGCAATTACGAATGTATCTGTTTCTCTTTTCAGTAACGTTGCAAAGTCACAGCTCACTATAACAGTTGGTGAATACGACACGAATGAGAAAAGACCACAGGCGGAGTTTGTCGTACGCAATTACAGAATATTCATCCCGTCGACATACCGATCACAGTTCTACAGTAAGGATCATATATGATAACGTCAATGTTCTCTCACATGGCTAATGGCAATATTCCAGCTGTATTAGAATCTGCACAGGGCAAACTCGTGACTGAATGTAACGATTCACAGGCAAGACAAAATTCAAATCAGCGGGATTGACTACTCGACTTTTTACAGCCTTATCCATGCCATACATGTTTTTTGCTGCCAACACATTGTACATTCATATACACCAGGAAAAAGTTCAAACCTTTCTCTTTCATGAAATATTCCGAACATGTTTCTCTCTTAAAATATGTTACTATGTTTTGTTTTAAAATTAAAAAGAGAAGGTATGATTAATGACTGAAATAATGTAACGTATAGTTTCAACATCTAGAAAACAAACTGATTGTCCGAAAATCCACCCCAGGAAACGTGTATGTTATCCATGTGACCATAGCCTGTCACCGTCGTCTCGAGCTCCCAATAAGTGTTATTCCAGTTCAGTAAGAGCACTGACGAGAAACGGGAGATCTTTGAAATCGTGGACATACAGTTGTATGCCAAACTTTTGAAATCGTGGACATACAGTTGTATGCCAAACAACTCCAGATACATATGCAGTACACGCTTTACAAACAAAATTCAAACCATACTTAACCCTTTGGTTTCTATATATGTGTAAGTAGCCATTATGCTGTTTTCCTCCCATGTATACTTGCAACTGATGCACTAGCCAAACCAGTCAATTGCAATGATTTTGTTTATATTTTTTCCTAGGGGATGATATTGCCATCATTAAACTGGATCAACCGATCGACTTTTCACGCTACGAGTGCCTGAGGCCAGTCTGTATCCCTGAGCCTGGGAGAAGATTTTCCAGAGTGTCTTGCACTGTAACCGGATGGGGGGTGACACGGACAAACTATACATGTGAGTCTACTGTTTGCAGGTGATATGTTTTCCTATCGATATAGTTTTTGTAGTTTGTCTCACAGTCTCTGAACCATATTATTTTCTCCACAGCCTAGCCCTCCATGCAATGGTAAAGCCCTAATTAAAGCAAGTATAGATTTTCCCAGGTTCTGAATCTCTGGTCTCATTCGGTCTCTCTTTTCAATTTAATGGTTTTATTTGTTACAATCAAAATTTTATATATTCAGAGACTAAGCGTCTGTAGTTTGTGCAACGTTTTCAAATTTCGGATAGGGCATTTATCAAGGAAGCTATTCAAATGCAGAGAATAGAAAGTGATTTTCGTGATAAAACCGATTTTTCATCCACCCAGAATGCAACACACACTTTCATTCGTATTAAAATATGCTCTTGCTTTGAAATGTTCCTTGTTTGACTTGGGACAACGGCAGTTTGGCACCTATATAACGTGAACTTTTTGTGCAAGTCAATCGAGCATGCTTTTCCCAAAGAGCAACACACAACTCAAAAGTTGTTCGATCAAGGTTACAACATCCAAGACCACATGGCATCTTTCAAATGTTTTGAAGAATATGTGTGCAGGATATTTCCAAATTTGCCTTGGCTTTGTATGCGTTTGTGACGGGTGCAACAGTCGGACAGGATACGTTCACCTTTCCGCAAACACTTGACATCATCACTATACGATTGTGAGTTATAAACACACGCTTATGGTGTGGTCCAAATCGAATTATCGTCGCTATTTCAAGCAGAGATTTCTTATGACTATGGTGGAAGGGCTTTGTTAGTTAGATGAATTCAGTGAAAGTTTTGGCGAATTTACATGTGTCTCGACTAATTTAATGTACATGTAAATCTATTCCAAACAAGGCGGTTTATTAATTCATTCTGGGTAACCGTTTACGCCACAGAAATATCATAAGATTCCTTAAAGAATTGAAAAAAAGCACCCCAAAAAACTCCAAAACAATACGTAAAAAAAATAGTACCACTTGTACTATATGCGTTTCAACTAAACGGAAAGCAGTTGAAAGCATGATGATTATAAGAGCAGAGAATTAAGGGCATTTAGAAGTGGAATGCATAAGAAAGGCAAGATTTATGGATGTCAACTTCTGTATTGTGAATAGTAACACGACGTTTCGGAGCGTATGCTTGCTCCTTCATCAGGAGATGAAAACATTTCTTTCATTATTTATATTATCATTATACGACGATCAGAATTTACCACAAAAATTTTAAACCTGAAGAGTGAGTGAATATTGTTTTCCTGTACAATATGTTTTGATACATTATATTATTATACATTTTATTGTGATATAACCTTCATAATGGTTGACATTAATATTTATGAATTGATTACTGAATGGAACCCGAATACAAATACCACAGATAAAAGAACCGTTATATATCCTTCAAGTTGTCAATACACCATGCTACTGTCAAAGAATGGAGCTGTTGACTTACACAACATTGTTTCTTCCCTATGCCTGACTCATCTTAATGCCACGTTTTGTGTTTGATTTGACTAATCCAAGAGACACATGCAACATAAACAAGGAGACTCACACTGTCACGAAATTTGCGACTTTGACATTTACTGATGTTTAGTTCATTGAATTGGTACACGTTGGGTTAAAGGCAGTTGTGTGTGTCTACCCGTGGTTGTACAGGTGCACTGTCTTCAGTCTTGCAGGTGTGGACAGGTGCAAGGTATAATGGCATCTTGAAACCAATAAATGCTTTGGTATTCCCTGTGCCCATTTTATTGTGACTCATTTAGTGCACATTCTAGGATATGAATCATTGGCCGTTGACAATTATTACACCTATAGTGGAGACTTTGAGTTCATCCGCATCCTCGTGACAAGCCAATTACATATGTGTTTGTTTACTACTCATTACAGCGAGGACGGAATGCTAATATCCAGTGAACAAATATACTGTTTGAAAAGGATTAACCATCGTTTTTAAGTAAACTCTATCATGTTTCCCATGGTACTCAAACTATCACTTAATTTTAGAAACCTGGAAACAAATCGCTAAATAAAATTGTGCTTTTGTCATGTTGATACGGATGACAATCACCATTGCCGAACATGTGTTCAGTTATCTTCGCCTGCTCATAAACGACGAACCCCTGAAGATCCGGGTTAGCACTGATCTTCAGCAACCCATACTTGTTGTTAGAGTCAACTAACAGGATCGGGTGGTCAGGCTCGCTGACTTGGTTGACACTTGTCATCGTATCCCAGTAGCGTAGATCGAAGCTCATGGTGTTGATCACCAAATTGTCTGGTTCAGAGTCGAATATTTGCAGACCTCCGCCATATAACTGGAATATTGCTGACAACAAACGAACAGACATAAACGATCTCACATAAATATAACATGTAAACTGTGTGTTCCGAATATAATCAGTAATAATTTGTAACATTTTAATAGCTCCGAAAATGTAATATAACCAAGGTACATTTTTTTCAATTGTCGGTCAAGTAAATACATTGATTCACTTAAGTATAATGTCAAAAGTACAAAATGCATATTATTTTTCAAGCATTTTAGATCTACATATATGGCAAACATTATCATAAGGAATATATTGTTTTGTCGGAATCCCTATCAACTCGACGTGTTTGAATACGTTTTATGATCTTATATTCGTCTTATATACTACAGTTGTAGTAATTGTTGAAATTGTTTCCTGCGTCAAACACCACAAGACTTATAGCACCTGATATTACATTGTATACACGTTTCATATGTAAATCGAAACATTATGACACTGAAGGCACTGGTATAGCATGAAAGAACAACATACAAATTCAGATATATTATACGGTAGTAGGATATCTGGCATAACAAAATATCTACAAAGCAGTGCAATAATTTATTATTATAAAATTGTTGGTGAATACATGTATTCCTTCATCGACAAAGGCCATACAAACAAGTCAGAAGTCAACATAATCATAACCAAATATTAGTTATTGAGGATAAAGGTCCCGAAGATTAAATGAAGGGGTGTTTCACTGAAAATGTAAATTATATCGTAAATATTGCAATAATCGTGAATACTGAATACAAACGCCTCTCATTTAATATAATGATTATTATTATGATTATGATTATCTTTACAGATCTAGATCCTCCCCTGTCAGCGATACTACAGAAGGTGAACGTGGACATCGTGGACAACTCCATTTGTACAAGGAAGTTTGGGTCGAGCTACTTCAGGTCAACTAACTATTGTGCGGGTGTCCTCGAGGAGGACGAGACTCGTGTGGGGTACGCTACCTTGCCAATACATGATATCCATAAGAGTGTATATGTTCCGATCGGAATCCAGTTTAGAAGAAGCGTGGGTCGCTATTACAGGATTGGGTGGTCAGGCTCGCTGACTTTGTTGACATATGCCATCGTATCCCAAATGCGTACATCGATGTTCATTACGTCAGTCACTGGATTGTCTAATTCAGACTCGATTATTTATAGACCGCCGACAAATGCGCAAACATGGTATAAACTAACACATTCTATTGATATTGACGCCACACCACTCATTATACAGAGTTGCGTACCTTATTTGCTATGATCCCCTTGGTTCGAATTGTAGATCAAACTAACACTAACCCGTGGTCCTACCCGAGCTCTTTACGTTGTAAAAGGTTTCATGACTTCTGTTGCCTGAGATGACTTGGCTTCATGAAATGATTAACAGAAGTATGAAAATTCTCAGCCGGATCACATCCGATTCCCTCATTTATCTATCGCTAATATCTCACCTTTACTATTTGTTTCAGGGTGATTCTGGAGGACCCCTTATGTGCACTACAAGGGACAGATTCGGCAGACAAACGTTAACACTAGCAGGTCTCGTTTCAACAGGATCCAACTGTGCTCAGAAAGATACCCCGGCTATATACACTGATGTAGCTAAATACCGTGGCTGGATCGATTCTATTATTGCAACCCCATAGAGTATTAAGTTGGCGGAGACTTACACACCCAACCAACGCGCAGTTGGTGGAGAAATTACACTGTGTTCATTTTGACAAATTAGAAGAAAAGAAAAGAACCTGACATCTGGCAATGAGAAAGATAAATACAAATAAATACTGTGACAAGTGATTTTCCATATATTACACTGTGATGGAAATTTTATTTTTCTAATTACTGAAACATCTCTTGTCATTTATCCGATTGGACTTTCTGGTGATCGGCAAAATAAAGTTGTTAAGGATGGACTTGCATTATGATTACCTTGGGAAGATAGGAGCCTCGCTTTGAAACGACAAGTTGTGCTATTGAGATCTGGATATAACGTTTGTAAAAATGAGGACGAATAACGTATGCACACACGAATTGCTATCTATGATGAGATGAAGTGCTCCGGTATATTGATGTATGACTGTAATGAGCTATTTATGACACGACACAAAGATAAATGTAGATTGCAAACGAAAGGTTGTGACTCGGTTCTCAAGGGAGCGTGATAACAATAACAACAGCCTCACTTCAACATCCTCTGACCATGACTATATTATGACGCGATTCTCCGCAACAACAGTTTCTGAAAATAACTAATTAGGGCATGTTTCGCAACGAAAACAGTTTCTGAAAATGACAATATTAGGGCGTGGTTCTCTGCAGTTAGTCTCCAACAATTTAATACCTTCTGCAGGACGAAGTACTCGGCTGCAACAGACTCTGACAATGAGTAACTTAGGGCGAGGTTCTCCATAACAACACGTTCTGACAATGACTCTCGAAGGGTGTGATCACCACTACAATGATCTCTGACAATGACTAAATTAGGGCGAGATTCTCCATAACAACATGTTCTGACAATGACTCTCCATGGGTGTGATCACCACTACAACGACCTCTGACAATGACTAAATTAGGGCGAGGTTCTCCATAACAACAGATTCTGACAATGACTCTCCAAGGGTGTGATCACCACTACAACGATCTCTGACAATAACTAACTTGGGACGAGATTCTCCATAACAACATTTTCTGACAATGACTCTCAAAGGATGTGATTCGCCGCTACAACATTTTCTGACAATCACTGATAGGAAGTTGTTCTCCGCTACAACAGTCTCTGAAGATGAAATTAAGACGTGGTTATCAACCACAACAATCTTACAGTGACCTCTGACCGCTTCCGTCAGATATTACCTCACAGCAACTGCCTCAGTTCAACGTGGTTTTACTTGAAATGAAATCATCAGTAATTGTACAGGTATCCTTGTATTGACTGTAACTGTTCGCTCGTCGGCACCTATTCGAATTATGTATGTTATAGGTATAATGCATGTGTATATTCACAGTCCTACAGTTCTGTATGTACAGGTTATACCACAATGCAGATAGGTAGTATGGACGTCTGAATCTTTAAGGTCCTAACAGTCAATTGTCTATTTTTAATCGGAAGAAAACATCAGAAAAATCACGACCATTAACTCGAGGGAATGTTTTCAAGAACGTGTCTTGAAAGACGCATTATTTAATTCCAAATATTTTTCTATGCTAATATATTAATATAGAACTTAATATAAAGTTACTTGTTTCGTTGGTATACATGAATACATCGTTATTTGACACTGTTTGTATTGTCTAAAGTTAACATTGACTGACACATTTACACCACATACTTATTACTAAACCCAATCAGTCCTCAATTGTCCTTTGAGAAGATTTTGGTTTGAGAATATTGAAACGATATAAAAGGAAAAGCATGCTGACATACAGAAACTTTGCATTTTTTGCATAATCAAAAATATAAACAGAACACAGATTTGCATCATCAAGTTGTATACAAGTGTATATGGTTCCTGAACATAAACTTGTAAATAAAATGTCACTTCAAACTGTATATTACGTTATTATTAATTCCTTGAAAAGCTACATATTGCAGTTCAGAGATATGAGTGAGTACGGATTATATGTCCCGAGAGACGTACCGGTTTAAGCTTTTAGAAAAGGATGTAATTCGTGAAAGGCAGATAATCCGTAATTCAGAGTTTCATGGTTACTTTTCGTCATCTTACCAATTGAAGAATGATATAGATTCTATGTCGAAACGTCGCCTTTCACAGAATAAAGACGTAAAGAAGTTGCATATCCATAAAGTTATCATTCTCCATCACCTCAACTTCTAAAATGCCCATCAAAGAAGATATTACCAAATGACATTGTGAAAACAAATGACAATATACGAACAAACATGTCATTTCACTTTTTGTGGAGAAAACTTAACTGATTATAGCTTATTGTTCAATAAGGAATTGTCACCAGTTTTTGACGTCATATCTAATCAATTGTCTTCGAGAATCCCAAAGATATATATGTGCAAGATTATTGTAACAACCGTCATTCTACGTGTACCTTTGTGATGTTACATGTTGCAGTAACCACAATGATGATACACGTGTCATACAACTCATACATGTACGTCTTTACAGATATGATACATTTATAATGATGGCGTCAGCCGCCAGGCTGATGTGGAAGGATAGACGGACGTGATGCAGGATGTATACAGCTGTGATGAAACGTAGGATCATTCCAGTGTCTTTCTCGCTTTATGTTATCGTGTCCAAAATATTGCATATCTTTTATTTAACATCACGTAATAACACTATTTATAGCTGAATGGACAACAGAGCCACCGCCTATGACTTCTAATATTAGTTTGTTGTTTTTATTTCCTGTTTAACGCCACACGCAGCAATATTCCAGCTACATGACGGCTGTCAGTAAGAAAAAACATCTAGTCTGGACCAGACAATCCAGTGATCAACAGAATAAGCATCGATCTACTCAACTGGGATACTATGACAAGCACGGTTTGCTGAAGACCAATTCTAACCCGGATAATCAAGGGTATCTACGGGTGTACTCAAGCCCCCTACCCACCCTTCAAAATTAGGAAAATCGGCTTTATTTTCACATGACAAATGTCGTCTTTTTTATTTTGAAGCCTTCATTTATTTTGAATCAAGTATATGAATTGGTAAATGCAACGCAAATAAATGTGACGAAACCATCGCCATATCCATAAGACATTTCGCCCAAATTATCCTGAAAAAGAATCAGTATCAGATAGTGACGTTAACGTAAGTTTGTCGCTGGATATTGCTCGATATAAACGGGAAAATTACAGCTTTAACGTCAAAGTCATTTGTCTTGACCTTCCGTCTTGTGGAGACACGCTTTTTTGCCTTTCTGAACCCTTATGCACTGGTCTGAAAGTGAAACAGACGGGGTTGTCTCAAAGTGAGGGCGCTTAACTAATAGTAAAGTATTATGTTTATTGTTTAGTAAGGGTAATAATGTAACGAATGCAAATATCATGCATCTTTAACTTCTAAAGAAACACAATGATGCATATATACACAGAACTTTGTAGAACAAAGTTTCGAATGTGTATGACTTGGAAACCTATTGTTATTTATTTCCATCTTGATTATAAAGATTTATTGTTATAAAGCACTGGGAAATATTCCACAGCAGTGATCGAATCTCTGCCAGATAAACAAGTGGCTATAATGTTACGTGTAAAGTTATGGTATTTTAAGTTAAGGAACAATATATGTAGGATTCCTTCACGAGTGAGTGAGTGTTGTTGTACGCCACTCCTGTCAACACGCCAGGGGACCATGGGTTACACATGGTTAAAAGCAAATCGAGCTGGGGGTCCGCCTCCCTAATAAACGAAATTCAGACGAGACGATATATGGAATAAGACGTCGAGGCTATATCTGATCAATATCACCAAGGACATGTACAGTACAACCAGAAATTATTGAGAATTTAAAGATTGTAAAAAAGTTTTCACTCATTACTCACGTATTAAATGTGAATATTAGCAGAACATAACTCCAGATTCAAAGACAGGTGAATAGTTAGTATTTTGTCAAGTCACCATGGGCAGCAATGCAGGCTTCAATGCGGCGGGGCATACTACTGATCAAAGAAGTTAGAAAGTCGTGGTCCATTCTGTCCCAATATCGGACCATCTCTTCTTTCATTTCAGCATATATTTGTCAGATTTTCTTATTGACACTTTCCTTCATAAGTCCCCAAACATTTTCTAATGGATTTAGGTCAGGGCTATAGCTTGGCCAATCTAATAATGTCATATTTTGGGTCCGAAACTAGGCCTGTGAATGCTTTGGACGATGTTTTGGGTCGTTGTCCTGCTGGAAAAATATCTTTTTCCATAGAACACGTGAGCAGATGGAAGTAAATGTCCCTCGAGAATATCTGTGTACAGCTCACTGTTCATATTCCCTTCAAATACACAGAGGGGCATTGCCCCTAACACAGATATGCCACCCCACACGTTAAATTTTGGACTGTACTTTGGGCGCTGATACAAAGGTTTTTCAGTTTGTTTGGTCCAGAATTTCAGTGTGTTAGGAAACAGCCACACAGAACTTTCATCTGAGAAAATCACATTGTCCCAGTTAAAATTTCTATGCTGTAAGCACCAGTTCAACCTTCGCTCCTTTTCTTCGGGTTTCATGATCGGTGATGGAATTCCTCGACTCTTCTGCCAACCCATTGCATGCAGCTCAGTTCTAATTGTCTCCTTACAGACAGCCACAGTTCCTCTATCAATCATATTCAGCCTTAAGTTTTCTAAACTCCTCCGTTTGTTTTTAGAAACAAGAATACCAAGCCGCCTCCTGTCACCAACAGTCAATTTTCTGGGCCTACTTGCGCCTCCCTGGTGCTCAGTGCCATATCCATTTGCAATATTTTTCAAAACACGATAAACAGTGGACAAAGGGATGCCTGTTCTACTTGAAATCACTTTAGCTGATCTGATGTCCTTCTTATAATATTCT